ATAGCCACAGTGACCTCATCTCAGGAGCTGCCAGCCTCTCCCTCAATGGGAGGATTTCCTTCATGCCCAGGGATATCACGGGTTCTCTATAGTAGGCGAGCAGGAAGGCGGGCACCTGGCCAGCCCACATATAATAGTGTGTCCTAGTCCCCGGGGGTCTGGAGAAGGCCACACAAAGTTTGGAGCAAAAATGAACTTGGACAGATGGCTAATCGTCTTGGATTAAGTCGGAGCCGCTTGACATAGACTTGCTAAGAATAACAGTGAACACTGACAGGAGTCGCCATTAATGCTATTTTAAAAAATACCTAGAGACTTAACATTTTTTCAAATATAACTTGGTATTCTTTTATACAAGTGTGACCCACTGAGGGAAACATGTGTGGCAGCTCAGTTCCTCAGTGAGCTCATAAACATCTGAGTTGAGACATATTTGCTTTTGTGAAGAGGGTAAAAGCTAACATATCAAAGCAAAAACAATTCTTTGCAAAGTTTTCCTCCCAGGATCATAATACTGCTTTGAATATTTGTTGTACACAGAGGGAGTTTCTCAGGATCTTGGAGGAATCGGAAACAATCCAAAGTTCTTGACTCCATCACATTTAAGTTTGCTTTAGGGCAGGGCTGAGAACACTGCCCATCCCAAATCAGACATGTGGCTACGCGCACACTTATGCCACGCTGTCCCTTAACATCCACCACAAGGGTCTTTGCTCTGCTGCCACTGAAGGTGCAAGTGACACTGAACAACTGCATGGGAAGGAACCGAGAGGCTCACGGTTAGGACAGTGTCAGGCAAACGCAGGGTCGGGTTCTGCAGCCACGCCACTTCCACGTGGCTCCCCCCACTCCTGATGCCAGCTTGGCTGTGGCCTTGGCAGACGTGGAACCAGCGATCCCAGCCACTTCATGCCTGGATCCTGACTCTGACACGGTGAGTCACAGTGTGTTGTCAGTTAGGGGCCACTATTGGGGGCGGCAGGGGACTAACCTGGCCCACGCCACGCAGAAGGGCGAGGCCCTGGAACCAGGCTCTCCACAAGGAACCCTGGGACGCAGATGGGCCTGTGAGGGTGAGGACACCTAAAGTCACAAGTGCCTAACTGGCCTCGGAACCTACTAGCCTCCTAGCTCGTGGGAAGCATGGGCACGTGCACGTGCAAGTCCCACCCTCCTGCCCGGGAGACAGGAGCCCTGCAAAACACTCACCCAGCGTTGAGGTGACCACATTGTTCTCATTCAACCAAAGGGAAACTTGCAAAAATCAACCACAGTGCAAGTGCCGAACCACTACCTGTCCCACATCCTTGTCATTCCTCAAAACAAGGGAGAGACCTTAAAACTGAGGCTTGCGGGCCATTATTTTCTTTTTCTTTGTTAGCAGCTATGTGACTTGAGGTGAAGAAATTAAATAGGGAAAGTGTCTGAAGCAGATCTCCTCCGCCCCATCTTGTTTTCTAGCCAGGGGTGCCCTGGAGCCATCGGATTCAGCCCGTGACAATAACACGGAGGCCCAGAGACAAAATCGCTCCCTCCCTGAGGGAGGGCAGATAGCCACGCTTTCATCCTAACCGGAGAGTAGAGATTCTGTGAAACCTGATTGCATTCAATTTCCAAACAGGAGGCAGGAGCTCTGACTTATAAAGAGGCTTCTATTCCTCATGAGGAAAATCACAGTGCCTGTAACTGAGGGAGAATGGGGTGAACCGCCCTGATGGCCCAGGGAAAGCAGCGCCAGCAGTTTGGGACGCGATGCTAACTCTGAAGGAGCCCGGTCCACACAGAGCATGACTCGGACATCAGAGGACCCATGGGACCTCTGACCCCGAGAGCAGTCCAGGGCTGAGGCCAAGCACGGAGTGGAGCTGCAGAACGACCCTGACAGTCCCCAAGAGCACGAAGAAAGCACAATAACAGGGCCCATGGAAGACTCCCAGCTCCCGCCCGAGCCCCGATAACTTTCCTTGTGGCACTCAGGGGACGCTGTCAAGGCTAAACACAAGACACGTTTACCACCAGAGCAGGACAAGGTTTTTACCTCAGAGCCCCAAGACCTATGTCATTTTTATAATTTTCTCAGCACGTAATCCCAAACAACACGATTTTTGCTAATATCCACCAGCTTAAGTGTTTGTTGGAATAAAAATGCTATTTTCAAGAAAACCCAGTCCGAAAGTGGTATTCTAAACTAATTATCAGAGGGCCTGCCTCTCAGTCACTTAGAGACACAACTGCGAGCTGTCTTTTCAGGGCCGCCCTAGCCCGGCACTGGTCTGGCCACACGTTTACCCGGGTTTTCTTCCCCAGCTTCACCCACAGGTGCTCTGCATGGGCACGGAGCTGAGTTATCCACGAGGACATCTACACTTTGACCTCATCCTCAGCATGAGGGAGCTTTAATTATCAAAACAGGATAAGACTGTGAACTTTTTCTAACCCAATTTCTTGTGTTGCTTTTTAAAACAAAATGCTTCTGATCATAAAAGGAAGCTTCCTACGGGGCTGCTCCTGCCTATTTGGTTTCTAAAGGACAGCCCATGGCTCGGGGCTGACTTTCCTGAGAACCTGACCTCCCGGACCACATCCTGGGCCGCAGAGAAGGTTTCCACGGCTCACTGGAGCACGCGAGGGGCAGAAAGAGGCCAGCAATTACACACGCGCTGGGAATCGCTTCTTGCAGCGTAATTAGGTGTCTGCAGTCCCAAGTGTGCTGGCTGCACGGGCAGACTCAGTCCCACAGAGACACCTGAATGCACCAGAGGACCAGGCAGCCACTACATCGAGGTGACTACAGGAAAGCTGCTCACTAGAAACCTGTCCTGCTGGTCTAGGCAGCACACGCATTAAAAAACCACCAGAGTCAGAGCGAGGTCCCCACCAAGGCACCCTCAGTCTATTTCCATGCTGAGCTGTGACGTCCTCTTCTCCCCCTCCTAGCTCCTCTTCTTGCTGAATTTCTCAGTATCCACACTGAGCATTCGTTACTCTTATGCATCTGCAAAAACACTCCCTGGGCCCCTTGGCCACAGTCCAGCCAGACCCCAGTCCTCTGTGGACGCCGGGAGGAGCCACTCTGGCTCTGCTGCAGGGCACGCGGTTCAAACACCACAACTGAGCTGGGAAGCCTCAGCCACGTGACCTTGGGGACTTGGTTCCCTCGGTGACCCCCAGAGCTCTCGGCTGTAAACTCAGGGACTCAAGTGCGAGAATCACTGCCATCAGTGAGTGCCAGGGGAGCCTTGGAAACCGGGCACCACCTGCAGCTTCCTGCGCTCGGCTGGCCTTGCCGTCCACTGGGCCAAGTCGGGGACGTGACCCACGGGGGTCAGCCTGGCGCACTCCTCGGGCACTTGGAGGCCTGACTGCTCACGCGGGACAGGAGCCTTTCCATCTGCGTTCAGTTTCCCTCCTCACCGCCCCAGTGCTCTTTTGGGTTGATTCTCCCCAGTCCACTATTTCAGCAAAACGGCTTTAAGAACCCGGCTCTGGCGCAGGAGGGATGTACAGTAGCAGGACAATTTCTTTCATTTTTATTTTTTTGAATTTTATTGGTGCATTTTAGGTGTACAACATAATGCCATTCATCACTGGGAATCTGCACCTTTACATAATCTCTCTTGGTTCTTATTTTCCCCCTCCCCTGCCCTCCCTTCACCCCTCCATCCCTCCCTGTTTACAAGCAGGACAGTTTCTAGTGTCCCCACACCCAGCACTGCGGTCACGCACAGAAGCACTCCAGACTCGGCCAGGCCAGGCCACAGCCGCACCACCAAAGACAGATTTGCTGAGATCCCTGGCATTTCTGCGGAGATCGGGCCAGCAATGAAGGCAGCAGCTGGGAGTGAATCATCCGCCCCGCTGAAAAGCGTTAGCACAAACAGGCGCGTGGCGCCGCAGAAGAGAGCGAGGTGGCACCAGGGTGCTGCCCCTGCGCCTCCGGGCCGCTCTGCCTCACAGAGCCAGCATCCGGAGCGCTTCTCACTTGGAAGGCGTCTCGTCTCACCTAGGGCTTGAACACGCGGCGAGGAGTGGGAGCATGGGTTCCAACTCCTGGGCCACAGATCCCTGGTGCAAGGTGTGAGACACGCTGCAGAGCTCTGCCACTCGGACTCGGACCCGGACCCTGGCCCTGCCCCAGCCCCAGCCCCAGCCCCAGCCTTCTGGGGACTCCAGCACTTTCTCCTGCCTCTCCCTGGCCGGCAGCTTGTGAAGAGAAGGCTGCTGGGAGTCTTGTTTCTGCTTTCACTCACCCAAGTGTCCGAAATCTACTTCCCCGTTTCCCGCTGCCTGTGAAGCTGCTCTCCCTTTGCGGCGGCTGGGAGAAGCCCTCCGTGCTTTGCTAATCGCCCTCCCAATCAGGCACCAAGACCCAGCTGCGGGCCCTCACTCCTTTAGGTACTGGCGCTGCTGCGACAGTGCTGGCTGGGAGGCGCTCGGTAAACCGAGGCAGAGCCCTTCTGTGACCCAGAAAGCACGAACCCCAAACATTACAGCGGCCGCCCTGGCCCGAACCTGCGGGCCTTGACCCGAGAGCCGAGCAGGTCGAATCCACCCCCGAATCCACCTCCCGCCCTGCAGAGCCCGCGCGGCCAGCGTCGGGGGCCGGGGGTCTGGAAGCCCCTGGAGAGCAGGTCAGATGCGAGGCCGGAGCTGGCGCCCCTCTCCCACCACCGGCAGGCGCTGCCAGTCTGGAGGCCGCGCTCCAGGAAGTGTTAGCTCTCCACCGCCAGGACCGAATGCCTGGGACAGTCAATTTTTCTGTTTTGTTTGGGTTTGGACTTTGGAGGTAGTGGAGGTGGAACCCAGGGCCCACACACTGAGCTACACCCTCAGCTTTTAAAAACATTGTTTGAACTTTGAGACAGGGTTTCACTGAGTTGCCAGGGCTGGGCCCCAGCTTTCAGTGCTCCTGTCTCAGCCCCCCAGAATGCTGGCCTGACAAGTGTGCGGCACCACGCCTGGCTGAGGTAATCTAAAGAGGAAAGGTTATCCTAACTCACAGTTTCAGAGGCTTCAGTCCATGGTCAGCTGCCAACAACGCGCTTGGGCCAGCAGATTGCTGCGGGAGTTCTAGGCTGCTGGGAAGGGGGGTGGGACAGGAAAGACACGCCCTGTGGCCTCTCACCCCATAGGCCCCACCCTTTAAAGTTTCCACCTGCTCCAGGTAGGGCCCACCTGGGTTCCGAGCCTGTAACACGGGAGCCTCTGGGGACATCCCGGGTCCCAGCTGTACCACTGTGCCCATTGCTGGTCTGGATCATCAGGTTTTCCGACCTCGGTGCGGTTGGTGTTGCAGGCACATTCCGGGCCAGGCAGCCCTGGTCGGGCACAGGGGCCCAGAGCCTGCGGGGAGGGAACTCACTCTCCGGAAGCAAACGACCATCTCGCAAGCAAGGGATCAGCCTGTAGCTTTTCATGAATCACAGCCAGAAAAACCTGGCTGGGGCCGACCTGGGTGTGGCTGCCGGTTTGGCATCCTGGGCCATGACGCCTTCGTGGTGGTCCTAGCTCGGGAATTTAATGACTGTCGCCGGTGCAAGGCTGTCCCTGGTCTCCTAACCTGCAGCTTGCTGGGTGGCGACCTCATTCCTAAGTGTCCCTGCTGGTGATGCCTTCATCCTCCAGTCTTTGCCATTTGTTACATAAAGCAATGATCTGCACCACGAGGGAAAGTGACTGTTCCATGCCCAAAGAAGAATTTGTTTTAAAGAAAAACAAATTAACTGGAGCTTAGTGAATTTTTGCAAATGGAGATCTTGCAACCCTGGACCTTCAGTCCACCCAACTTTGAATGCAAATAGCAATAAAGCCCCAAACCCTGAGCCGGCAGTCGTGGTGCACACCTGTCACCCAGCACTCTGAGGCTGAGGCAGGAGAATCCTGAGTTCAAGCCCAGCCTGGGCAATTTAGCAAAACCATCTCTGAATAAAAATTAAAAACGGGGTAGGGAATGTAGCTCAGTGCATAGGTCCGGGGTTCAATCCCTAGTATAATAAGGGGGTCACGTCTTCCACAGGTCATTTGCATTAAGTCCCTATCACCCCAGCTGTGGCCTCAGGATTGGCCAATAGGGCCTCACCTGGCAAGTGGCTAGAAATGCACAATCTCAGCCCCACTCCAGACCTGCGGACACAACAGCCCCTACCAAGAGTCCAGGTGAGTCCCAGGCACACAGAGGAGCGCCAAGCAAGGGGCCAGAAGTTAGCCACGCTCCACAGCCTTCAAGCCTCCTACCCTTCCTGGGAGCAGCAACTGTCCATTCATTTACAGAACTTCCATAAAGTCCATTCCCCCAGGGCAGTCAGACCAGGGTGGACCCAGGGCCACACATGGGGCTCAAACTCTGTTCTGCAAACCAACACAGAGGGCCCTGGAATCCTCTCTGCCCCAGCCCCAACCTTGGAGCCTCAGGGAGGTTAACCTCTGAGTAACACTGGGAATTGCTGAGCTTCCTTCCAGTCCCCAGGGGATGGTTAGCAAGGGTCCTGAGAGAAGACACTCAGGGCCGTGCGTTTACCCAAGAGCTGCGTGCCCCAGCCACTGCTAGGGCTGATTATCGAGAAAGAAAGCCGCTTTGTGGAACTTCTAGCCTTGCCTGGTTTCTTTCACTTTCTTTATAGTTTTTCATTAAATCAGGAAATGTTATTGGACTGAGTAGAAGGTATAAATTTTAACAAAATTACTAGTAAAAAGGGCTTTTCACTTACAGTGCACATATATTGAAATATTTGCTTATAACTTATCCTGCCTTCCCATAAAAGAATTTGAAGCAAATGTTGACAGTGAAATGATAAAACATAACTAAAGGAACTTGGTAAGGGAGGCACAACAGAGTGATGTTCTTTTCCTGTGAGTGGTAATGAAGGTGTCTCATGTTTCATGGCCGAGAAGTATGTTAATGCAGGCAACACCATTGTCCCTAGCCATTGATGTAGATAATGTTCTTGTCCCTAGTTTTTCAAGCAATAGAGTGCATTCTCCCTTAGATGCCTCTGGGAAACATCAACGGTATCTCATACCCTTCCCAGTCACGACACACAAGAAACAGGGACCTGGTATTGTCAACAGTGTTTTATTTACAAAGAATTGTTTGTATTTGACCATTTGGAAAACCACTAACATTTTTCGCCTTAGAAAACATTAAATAAGAAACAAGATGTTATACAGTACTTTGGATAACTTCTTCCATCACTTTAGTGCAATGTCTTATTGGCACCGAAAAGTCAAATTTTCAATGATTTTCCTCTTTCATCTTCAGCTGTGCAGTTATATGACCCAAAAGGAAATGAATCATTAAAAATGCATCTAAGACCGTATTTTCTGGCCTTTACACAAAGGCTGAATGGTTTATATTCCCCTCCAGCCCTGCCTCTAACAAGTTAAATTACAAAGACTGGCTCTTGGGCCTACTGTTAGACCACATGATGGTTTTGTGAACCTGGAGAGATGTTGTGGATGACGCTTGGTGCCCAGGTTAACCCGTCACCCATGAAGCAGATAAGAATCAGTGCTCCATGACTGGGCCTCTAAAAACATCCGAATCATCATCTGTTGAGCAAGTGAGAGGTTTATACCAGGAAAGAAACCCTTAAACACCATATTGGGACATTACTGAAATACAATACCTGTCCACCACAACTAATAATAATAAATGGTTTAGTAATAAGTGGAGTAAGTGGTTTAGGGGAGTTTTTCCCTTTTGTGTCTGTCTGTTTTGATCCTGCCAGGTTTGCCACAGAAGGAGAGAGTTTGGGTGGACTCAGCATCTTCTCCTCCGGCCTCCTGTCCACTGGGAGATAACTAGAAAGGGCCAAACGACTGCCCCCTGAATCCCTGAATCGCCGAGCTCTGGAGATTTCCACACATATGAGTAGCAGGACCACAAAAGGTCTCCTGGGAGATGCTGCAATGCACTGCTTTACCTGAGGGAATCTGGCTTTGAGAGAAGGACATAGGAGAGCAAGATCTTGATTTTCACACGCCTTTTTATAAAGCACTCCAATTTAACAAGTGTCCCTGCCAGGAATCGCTCCCTCGCACGCCTGCCTAAGCCCACGCCTTCTCTGTCTATTCTCAGTGCCCACGGGGGACAGTGGCCACCGTCCTCTCTGCACCACCCTCTCACACACGTGACAGCCACCAACCGTTGGCCCCTTAGTCTTCTCCAGCCAGAATCATCCAGATCCTCTGATTTCTCACCCTAGATCTTTTCTTCCTCCCCCTTTAATCATCTTTGTGATTCCTGGCAAAAGCAGAAATATTCTGATGACTCCATCAGACATGAAGAAAAGCCTCAGGAATAAGCTGCCTTTTAAAAGTTAACCTTTTGAACATAAAGGTAAAACAAGCAGGAAGAAGATGGTTGGGGGTTTGTGGGCGACAATTCCCATGGTGCCCTCTTCCTGAGGTGTGAGAATCCAACACGCAGCCCGTGTCTCAGCACCAGGACCAGAAGACAGGAGACACACCTCCTGAAACAAGCCAGCTGGGTGTGACATCTGTCCCAGGGGAGCCTCCTTACACTCCTCCCCACTTCCTGCTAGAAACAGGGCTTCCCCCAAAACAACCAGAGCTTTTACAAAGCTTCTTGAGAGAGAAAGCCGTCAACTCAACAGTGAGCAGGCTTTCTATCTTAACTGCAGTTTCTTGTCACCCTAAATGGTTTATTACCCTTTGCAGAGCTCCCATTCAAGGCCATTAGGAAAATGCCACCACTCCACCATTGCTCCACCACTTTTCTTTCACCGCCAATGCAAGGTCACCACGCTGGATGACATTCTGCCTTTTTTTTTCTAAACTCAGGAGATCACAAGCTGCACTTTACTTTGCAACTAGAGTCTGTAAATACTAGGAACATGTAAATATTTAATACCAATAGCACATTCACACAGAACACAACACTACTAATGAGGAATTCCTTGCCCACTGTACGTAATTGTCTTTATAAGAAAAATACAGATAACAAGAATAAATGCATCTTGGTATGTTATACACCCTTCTTTATAAAGTGAGTGGCAGTAAAAGTCAGAGTGCAGGTCAGGTCAGGACGAACTTCATGGAGAGGGGGGCCGATTTCACAGGCACACCGCACATCGTAGCTCAAGGAGAGTCAACACCACGCACAGCACAACACTGGACAGAGCGCGGAATGGTCGTTTGCACAGTGTTCTGAAGCCCCCGTCATATGATACAAGGAGTGTTTTATAACCAGGACGAAGGATGGTGCAGGTGACACACGTGCGAGGCCTCCCTGCATGGGCCATGGGTATGAAGGCGACACCCACAGCGGCTTGGATGTGCCTACACACACCTCGTCCTGCGGGAGTCACTGCTCACTGGGACTGCACAGCAGCAAGCCAGTGAGACATGGGTCAGCACGCGGGTCCCTCCTGCCCCCCGGCCCACTCTTCTCCTAGCCCTGGGAAGAGGGAGGAGAGGAGAGAAGGTGAGGATTGGAAGAGAAGAGGGAGCAACACGGGAGCCACTGCCAGCTGTGGGGCCACTAGCGCTCTTCGGAGCAGGGGCCCCTTCGCAAGCTCACGTCATCCAACGCGATCTCCCCGGGGTGGCCACGCTGCCTTTCACCCTTGAAGATGACCTAGGAGAGAATGCACAACCAGTCAAGCCACCTCTGCCCCTTTCGGCGCCCATTCCAGTAGCAGAATGCAACCTTCCCCAAATCAAACACAAACTAGGCTACAGGCGGACACGCCCGTAGGTCATGGCCATGTCACCTGAGGCAGGTTCCCCACCTGAAACGGAAGTCATCAGGAAATCCTCCTTCAGGCCACATGACTCAGAATCGGGGACTCTTTCAAAAGTCGCTCTGGACTATGTCCCATTCACCCCAGGAAGCTCATAAAAGGGACACTTGGCAATGAGGACCAAGGACAGGAGGAGGAAGAGCGTGATGGAACATAAGGGTCAGCCACTGAGCCAAAAACCAAGTGCTCCGAACAGCATGCGGCCTTCGGAGGTGCGTCTCACTCCTCCTGCTGACCGGTGGAGCTCTACTGGGCAGAGTGAACAGCTGCACCACCTGCACGTGGGTTTGCCCATGTGAACACCACTTTCTCTGCTCTTGTATTTTGTCTTCTGCAGAACTACCTTGCTTCTTTTAAAACGTGAAAATCCTTTTAGCGTCTGCTTCAAAACTATTTATTTTGGGGTTTTTTTTGCCCAAGTAATATAAGTATTTAGAAAAAAATTTAAAATGCAAAGAGTCAAACAAACCTAAATACCCTGACAACAGCTGTATTAATGGAAACTGTCTTTTCTTCCTAAAGTAGTTTGGAGAAACTGTATCTGTGAGCATACATGCTGTCTCTTTCTAGCAAGTGTCATAAGCATCAACATAAAGATGGCACTTTTCCAAATGCATGTGTTATTTTGGTGGGATGTCGTGGATCATTTTCTTGTTATCATGACTCCATCACTTAAAACAAGCTTCATATATTCCACCAAAGTTTTGTCTGAATAGAGCGGTGCTTTCCGATTCTACTTCTGGGTTCCCATCCGAGACTGCTGGACTAGAACCTCTGAGACAAGGAAGGCAAATGAAATTTAAAGAAACATGTAAAAAGAAAAAGAAAGAACCTCTGCACAGTAATTTATGGCAATAAAGGTTGGAAGTTTAAGGAACGGAAGGAAAAGGAAAAGCAGGCACAATTCAACACTGTCACTCCAGCCCTTGGGTTCCTGTCACTTTTGAGCTTCACCACTCACGCTCTTGATGTCCGAGCCCCGCAGGGTGATCTGTGTCTGCCTCCAGCCTCGGCCGCCGTCTCTGCCCCACAGGGCCACCCCGTGCCCGCCATGTCTCCTTACAGACACCTGCAGCGTGCCCGAGTGCAGCCCGGTCACCTTGTGCCTGAAGGACAGGCACACATCCCCTGAACGCAGGAGGTGGCCCAGCGGCAGCACCAGGCGTGCGGCTCTTCCCTCGGGGGCCTTGGCCGCCACGGTCAGGTACTGCCCACCTGCAAGGGAAGAGCAGGGCGTGTGAGAGCCAGGCAGCAGGAACAGCCACCTCCTCCCCGCTTCGTGAACTCATCCCTGGGACGGCCACCAGTGAAGAGCTCTGGACCTTTGAAGGAGGCGGACGTGACTCATTTCTGTCTGAAGTTCTTTGATGTCTACAAAAATAACTCGTGGAGAGTAGAAGTTATGTCAAAGATGCACAATAACTAGCAATCCAAACGCTATAAATATTTCAATGGAATACAGCCAGAATACACAGTCCTACACACACACACATGCACACACACACCCACGCGCACGCACCTGGCCATCTCTGGCTGTGTCACCACGCCCACCGCATTGCTGCCTGGGTAGTTTGGTAGAACTGGCCCTACATTTCCTGGGAGAAAGCTCTGTGTGCAGCAAAGCACATGGGCATTTACTGAGCTTTATCTGCTCATTCTCTCCTCCTCCTGGTTTTTAAACAAAAGGCTCTCCTGGAAACAGCACTGTCTACACTTTCCACACTGGTCAGCCTTAACCCCCGGAAGACTCGGCCTCTGAAAACCCTCTGCCTCTTCCAGGGGCAGCGACCGTACTGGAGGAGAGGCGAAGCTGTAACCCTGTGCCTACTTCCTACATTCACCTATTTCACTCCAGCCACTCCTGTATGTACACACTGCCACACTTGTCATATGGTTAAGTAAACACCTTGCATCTCCCCGTAGCAGACAGAATGCTGAGCCAGCTGCCTCTGATTCTGGATCAGGAAAGACCAGAGTTCCAGGGAAAGGGCCACATGCATGGACAGACAAGGGTCAAGCCCTGTCTCCTGCAAAGGGACAGCCTCAAGGCTGCAGCTACACCCTGCAGCACATTACCCCGTCGGTCTGCATTTTCATTCTGTGGGGGACCGTACGGATCTTACTTCTCGTGATGAAGTTCAGGACCGACTGCGATAAAACCTGCTGGCACCACGAAGGACAATCACCAAACACACTCACTTTGTGGCTGCTCCTTAAGGTGGTAAATCTATTGAATTGAGGGTTTTCTTTAGCATATAAAAATACTTGAAAATCTAGATCTTGGATAAGAACTATACACCATTAAATCAATCGTAACTGGAAATGCAAACACTGTAATTCTTTCACAAATGGCATAATCTGGAGAGAAAGAAGTAAAAAGTTTGTTAATTAGAATAATTCCCGGGAATTATTTATTGAATCCCTTATACTCTTCTCTGGCCTTCACTTGTCTGTCTCACTTCATCTCGCCATGCACCACCCGGACAAATGCCTCTCCCAACACAGAGCCCCCTCCACAGCACCTGGTCTCTTTTAAAACAGCTCTGCTGGAAAACGGAGAGGGACTCACAGTCTGTCTCTGTTGTTCTCATGCATCCGTGCCCTGGTGGTCACAGAGGACACCGCTAACCCTGGGTCAGTTCCTGGGGAAGCAGACCAGGCCCCATTCCTCCTCCAGGCTGAACATTCTGGTTTCTTCAACTGTTTTTCACAGGCTTAAGACATCCTTCTACCCAGGTCATTCTATCCTGAATGATCTAAATTAATCCTATTTTCCCTATACCTATCACCATGCACTAAACTAAGATTGAAGTGGAATAAAGATCTAAATATGAAGACAGAAACACTAAACTTGCTGGAAGATAAGTTAGGTAGAACTCTTGAAGACATCGGCATAGGAAAAGACTTTATGAACAAAACCTCAGTAGCATGGGAACTAGCACAAAGAATCAACAACTGGGATCTCATCTTATTACAAAGCTTCTGCACTGCAAGAGAAACCACCAACAGAGCTAACAGACAACCTACAATGTGGTAAAAATTTTTAGCAGCTGTACCTCAGACAAAGGACTACTATCTAGAATATATAAAGAACTGAAAAAAAATCAGACCCCCCAAATTCAAAGACCCAATTCAAAACTGGGCATCTGAAATGAGCAGACATTTCTCAAAGAAATAAAAGCAGCAAATAAACATATGAAAAAATGTTCAACATCACTGGTCATTCGAGAGATGCAGATGAAAACAACACCAAGATTCCACCTCACCCCAGAAAGAATGGCTGCTATCAAGAAATCAACCCATAACAAATGCTGGTGGGGCTGTAGGGAGAAAGGATCCCTGCTCCATTGTTGGTGGGAGTGCAGACTGGTGCAACCACTGTGGAAGTCAGTATGGAGATACCTCAAAGAACTAGGACTAGAGGTCCCATTTGACCCAGCTATTCCCCTGCTGGGGATCTTCCCAAAAGAATTAAAAGAATCATACCACAGTGATATATGTGCACCCATATTCATAGCGGCACAGTTTGTAATAGCTAAAGCTTGGAAGCAGCCCAAGTGCCCATCAACTGGAAACTGGATAAAGAAGATGTGGTGTTTGTATAAAATGGAGTACTACTCAGCCATAAAGAACAAGAAACTAGAGACATTTATAGCTAAATGGATGCACATTGATGCCATACTCTTAAGTGAAATAAATAGGACACACACGTGTAAATACCAAATAGTTTCTCTAGTGTGAGAAACTGAAAGTGTAAATAAGGGTTAAAATGATTAAAATGAATAATTGATAATTTGAAATAGGAAGAAAAGGTCCAAAGGGGTAGGGGTAGTGGGAGGGGAGGGGGAAAGGAAAAGTTATGAGAAAAGAAAAATAATGGAAACAAAATCTTTGTAAATAGGGAAGGGTGGAGGGGGTGAAGGGCGCACAGGTAATAGGGTAAAAATAAGGACCAAGATACATCATGTACAGGTACAAGCACCCAAGGATAAATGTAAACATGTTGTATACCTAAAATGTACCAATAAAAGAATTTAAGAAAAAAAATTAACTCTATTCTCAGACCAGAATAATGTTACTAAGTCACTTAACCACAGCAGGTTTTCCATCCTGGAAAAGTAACAAATTTTTATGGAAATTGGCTATTTTTTGAAAGTAATGTCACAGGGTTAAGTCACACTGATACCACTGCCTACCAAAACTCTGGTCTCTCACACTGTCCTGAGTCATGTCATCTGGTCCCAAGCCATGAGGCTGGCTGGCCTCTAGATCGCAAACCGCACTGTGAATTCACCCCCATTAGATTCTACCCTCTTCATCGGTACCAAGTCCACCCTCTCCATCCTGGCTGGGTCCACACAAAGCACTTTCCAGCTTTGAGTCAACCACAAGTAGGTCAGCTGTCTTCAGTACCTAAGTTCAGTCCACAATTTATTCAAGTTGTTGGTAAAAACTTGGCCAACACTTGGAGAGCGTCCTCCAGGGGCTGGAAGCAATCCTCAGCAGTCCTCCAACTGCCCGCAAAGCTGCTGCTCCTCCCTGCGTGTCCTGCGCTAGCACAGCCCAAGGACTATTTCCAGCGTGCTCTGCGCCTGCCACACAAGTTCCCCAACACTGAGCCGCACCCCAGTCCCCCCGTCTACTGTTCTAACTTTCAGCGCTCTTCACATTTCTCTATCAGAGGGCAAGGGGAGTTGTGGGCCACAAATTTAAACGTTTACAAATATGATGAGTAAAAAGAAAATGTTGACAAGTACTAAGTTGGTTCTCAAATACGCTGTTTAAATTCTGAAGCTCCTTTTAGTCTATTTTACAGAGACTCTCTTCAAAGAGAGTGTCTACACAGAAGCGCCATGAGCTCTGAGCACAGCAAGAAGCACCGAAAGGTACTTCAAAAGGAATTCATCAGGACCACACATGTTCTTCACAACTCTATCACACATGGCGCCCACAGACTTCTCCTCTAGCAAGACGCGCTGGGCCAGTGGCCAGTCCTGTGATTGGGCGGACCGAGGCCAGACCGGGGACCCGCAATGAAGCCACAGCAGCAGGACACGTAAGAAACAGACCTGGGCACTGGCCTCTCCCTTGTGAAATAAAGACAGTGTCACTTGCTCCTCGGGGTGGGTGAGAAATTAAATGAAAGTACCCAGCTGACAAATTGGCTGGGGACATAGTAGATAGTAAATGTACATCGGATTCTCTCTTATTCACACATTCCTGTGACAGTAACAAGCTTGTCCTGACCAGAGCTAGCTTTAAATGTAGGAGAGAGAAATTCGTGAGTGTACTGCATATGGCCTACATGGTTTTATAACTACAAGAAAGCTAAAAGTCCATTCTAATTTATTGAATATTCATATTTTTAAATGCTTACCCCAACTTTTATTTTAAAATACTTCTGTTATAATTCAGTCTTAGGGATGCTCATAAATAAATTTTAAATTAATTTTTAAATTTGTTAAGTTTATTGGTACATTTTAAGTATATATGATGATCACATTCATCATTGGGAATTTGTACCTGTACATGATATATCTTGGTTCTTATTTTTTCCCATTTCCCTTTCCTCCCCTCAACCCCTCCACCCCTCCCTATTTACAAAAGCTTTGTTTCTATTTTTTCCTTTTCTCTTTTCATTCCCTTCTTTCCTTTCCCCTATCCCACCTCCCTAGTTCCCCTTCCTCTTTGAACATTGTCTTAAATGGAGTACTATTCAGCCATAAAGAAAGATAAACTAGAGGCATTTATAGCTAAATGGATGCACCTTATGAGCATAATCTTAAGTGAAATAAATAGGACACACATGTGTAAATACCAAATTGTTTCTCTAGGGTGAGAAACTAAAAGTGTAAATGAGGACCAAAATGTATATTTTGAAATAGGATGCATTAATTTTTAAATATCTTGCTACTTGTGCACCATGGGCCAGCAGTGAGGCATCCCTGGGGGTCCTGTTGGAAACGCACCAAACTCAGCACTTCCATATGCCCCCTACAGTGGGGAGCGGCTGTCACAGATCACAGCTCTCTGAGCTCAGCTCCATGTGCCCGGCTCGGTCTACACACCTAACACAGTAGCTAAGAACCAGGCTTCTGACATAAGTGAAACTTATCTTCACATCTTGTATCTTTTATTCTGAAAATCTAATTAGAAGTAAAAAAAATAAAAAAGAAAGAAACCAAACTCATCCTTCCATTAAGTTGGCCTAACTGGTAAAAGATTTAATTATTAAGGGGAAGGGAAAAACAACAATACATAGCTTTGCCTAGAACTAGAAGACAAACATAAATACTGAGAGTCAGGCCAATAGGAACTGTGCAGGTTAACATTCTGTCAGGTTTCCAAGGGATTATGTCCATGTTCATCTTTCTAAGAGCCCAGTCTCCTGCATAAGTGGTGGTAATTTATAACTATTTCCTCCAGTGTTAGACTCAGAATGAGCTCTTGTGCAGAGAGAATCACCACATTGCAGGTTTCCACTGTCTCTCCTACTACCACTCAAATCTCAAAAAAAAAAAAAAAAAGCATTAGAGGACAACTGAGAAAACGACCAAGAACAATAACCACGGCCCATCCGCTCACATTGCTTCTTTTGTTCCTGGGAACCAGGCATTACAGATGCACAAACAACTCGAAGATTACACACTGGAAGGAGTGCACACACTGTCTTCACCAAGCTTTACGAGAGAAATCGGCTGGCCTTAGTTTACTCCCCGTCTCCCGTAAGGTCACTGCCTGGCAGCTAACAGACCTGGCTCCCATGGAACATGGGATCTGAATCCCAGGCACAGTCTCTCCCAGCCCTCGTGAAGCAAGCGTGGGGAAGAGCCACAGCGCCCAGTGTGCGGGGAGGACTGGGAGGAAGCCGTTCCTACCTGCCGGGTCCCGGGCCGGTTCCCAGTGCGAGTCACTGTCCTTCTCCCTGATCCATCCGCAGAGGCCGTGGTCAAAGTTGCAGCTATGCACGAGGACACCTGTAAGGAAGGGACAGAGGAGAAGATGGCAGACTTGACAAGGGACCTGTGACCGTGCGCATCAGCGTCACCTCCCACCCACACCGAATGTCCGCCACCCTTTCTCGGCACAGCCTGCCTGCCGCTCAGCGGTGAAAACAGAGCCCTGAGCCCGGCCGGGTCGCAGCCTCGCACACCGGCACTTATAAAATGTGACTTCCCCCCCACAGTTCAGAGAGCACCGTGTTCCTACACAGAAATGATGACTCATAACTATTTTGGCTCAACTGATTTAGCAGAGTTGTAAAACACTCAGGAAAGAAGCCGATGGATAATTTCCCCGGTGGGGCTGAAAATTCTGAACTTTAAGTTATTTCAATGAAATGGCAAAAGCAATAGAAGGTCACAACTGCGCCCACCTGGGTCGTCCTTCGCTTCGTCATCGTCGGCGCTGACTCCTCTCTCGATCTCGAATATCTCCAACAGGTCATTGGAGGGCTGCCGTGGGACTGCAAGACAGGGTTCGGTGCTGATGAGGGCCTCGACCGTGAGTTCAGCTGGGAGCCCTCGTCTTTACACTGCACACTCAGCCTCAGCAAGTGCGTCCGGCGGTGATTTACGCTGTAACCCTGATCTGAGTATAATTTACAAAAATGATTTCCAAAAGTTTCTAAAGTTCAACATAAAAATAAGTTCAAAGCTTTCATCTGGAAAATGCCTTTTAAAATAGCTTCTGATATCTGCCAAGATAGGAATCTCTACAAATTCTAAACTGTGGCTCTCCGGAGGCCGCTGTGACCAGAAGGGCCTCCAGTTGCAGCGAGTGGTTTTCTAGCTGCCGAGTCCCCTCCTGAGCAGGGAACCCCGCACATGCATCCAGGGCTCTGCCCTGGTGCTGCCCCTGCTGATGAGCCTGCCAAGCTCCGCTCCCTCCAGGCCCAGAGCGTGCCCACTGCCTCTCTGGGCGCCTTCCGGCCCAGGCAGAGCCCATTCTGCCCCTGGCTCCCACAGCCCTGTTCACACCTGTCTGACCCCCCCCCCCAAGGCCTCTGACACCCTGGACGGCATCAATTGCAGCTCATGCTGTGCATTTCCAGGGCATGGCCTGGTGACAGGTGTTCTGGGCATGCTCACTGGGGAAATGCAGACTATGGCAGAGACCCCTGCACTTGGCCAACACTGCTCCTCAAAGGCACCAGTGGGATGGAGCCAGTGAAGCCACTTAAAAACCACCAACTCATGGAAGTCACTTATGTAATCATTCACTCGAGGTATATGTGATTCCCACCCAAATGCCCGGCACCAGGGAGACGGGGTGAGCCCTGCAGAGGAGGCCATAGGAGAGGGCCCTGGTGCAGTCTGAATTCTGGGGGAAGCAGGTAGCACTGGAGGTGAGGAACATCTTAACAACAAACTCTGATGAGGGCTGCCAAGGAAACGCCCTGATACATCACGGGACCCAGGCTGTGTGAGGGAAGCTTCAGTGGGAGAGGAATTCCTGGCCCGAAGCTCGGGATGCTCCCTCCCCAGGAGCAGGGCTTCAGCTAATTAGCTCCATCAAGGAGGGCAAGGCAGGCCAGGCGGACAGCTTGGAACAGGCGCCAGTCTGAGGGCTCTTTGTCAGAGGTGTGGCTGCTATTTTTAGCAGGAATTTAAATAACTGACGCTGCCGAATCTGCACTAACAGCTTTTAGCTCACAACTGCTGGACTTCTTTTCCTTTTGGTCTCAAAAGTGAGAGCAGAGAGGCCTTGACACCCACCCCAGGAGCCAGGGAAGAGGCCACCCGCCCTCTTTCAGGACTGACAGCACTGACACCCAATCACAGCTCTCCTGTCCTCACTGGGGCTCGAGACCTTGACACCTCTCTTATTTCCTTGAAATATTAAAAAGCCTTAAGCATTCTTCATTCCTCCTGACCTAAAGTTATAAAAACAGTGAGAGAACAATCGTGCTCTTCACCCTCTCAAGGTGTAGGTTCTGTTGTAGCTCATCTCGGAAGCGGAATCATACAGGACCGTGTTCAGGGCCTCGTGACACTTTGCACGCCCTCCCACCCCACCCACGGGGGACTGTGGAATGCAGAGCAGTCCTGCTGCGGGTGGGGACAGGGATGGCGCACGCAGGTGCACTGACCGGCACAGGAGGTCCAGAGGCCCCCCGCAAGCACCACTTGCATGGCGAGGGGAAGGGTGTGAACTTCCCGGCCAAAAGCATGGGGGGGGGGGGCGCTGGGCAGTGAAGAACCAGACCCTGCTGGACACTGGGACCCAGGAGTGCAGTGCCCGGGAGGCTGGGAAGTGAGACGGCACCCTGGGCTGAGAGTGAAGGGAAAGGAGCGACAGGTCAGTCGCAGAAAGGAGCCCCGGAAGAGAGTGATGCGCAATCTCGCCCAGCACCCACAGCGCGAGGACACTGGGCACTGGTCTCTGGGGGCCGCGCGGCAGAGAGGGACGGACACGCGGCCACCTCCCCGCAATCTGGGACCCAGGAACTCGGAGACCCAACGCACGCAGCAGCAGTTTCACGCGCTCCACTCGGAAGCTGCCCACTTAGTTACCCAATCTCCCTCCTCACACGCGCCCGGCGTTGCTAAGGACGCCCGGCTGCAGTGTTAAGGGAAGGTCTGCTGCCGCTCTCTGGCCTAGTTTACGGTCGATAGGAAAACACTGAGTGAAGTAGGTCGGGGAAAAATCACTCGGGCAGTATTCTCTTATCAATCACCTATGCATAGAAAATGAAAAGAGCGAAGAGTGATGAGAAATACACCAACACGCCTGTAGGCTCACCACAGTAGTTTAAATATTGGGAAAAAGAGTGCTGCCTCCTCGTTTGCTGGGTCTTTTTTTCTTTTGTAATTCTATATTTTTGGATTGTTTGTGAAAAGAAAAACATTTAATTATGAAAAAATACTTTCCTAAAACACTTAAGGAGGGTTGTATCGGAGCACATATGCATAGCAACTATGCCTGCCATTTTGCCTATTTTGTTTTTTTTTAATTTATAACCGACACATAAAAACATAAAAAAGCTGTACATATTAATAGGGCCCCATGAAATGTTTGATGCATTTCTATGTTAGGCGATGTTTAAATCAAGATAAAAATATCTAGCTACCCAAACATCTATAATATCTGTACAGTCAAGACTTTCAAATCTTTTCTTCCAGCTGGTGAAACGTATAGCACATTACTGTTTCCGAAGAGCAAGCTGCATGTACCTGTTGTTGGAATGAAAGCTGGAAGATAACACTGCTCAAATTTCTTGTATGCTTACGGGTTTGGTCCGTGGAAGGGAAAGGTGTATGTGTCACCGTTCTTCTTATATTCCCAATGCTCTCTCTGGGGGACAGAGCTAGAGACACAGACCCCAGACCGGAAGCAGGATGAACGGCAGGGTTTGTGAGGCGGCCCCACCCCCTCGGCTCCCTCCCCGTTCCCACTCCACATGCAGAACATAAGCGAGAGAGAGGGAAATAAAAAGCTTGGAAAGGACCTCCTGCAATTTCCTCTACCACATTAGAGAAAGTTCTTAGCCATCTACTGATTACTGGCAATAAGAAACGGGTCGCTGGCTTCAGAAGTAGAGGACTGTGCTCGCCAGCATTTCCATCCAACAGGAAGCATCTACAGAGTTCAAAAGAGGAGTGGAACTGCTGGAAGAAATTAAATCTCTGCTGAACGGTAGAAAGCAGACAATGACCACTCAGGAATGAGGCCACTCTTTGTGCCACAGCTCTTGTTCTTTTCTGTATCATGTGCACCTTTTATAAAGAATCAGAACAGCTCCGAAGCATGGCCCGGAGAAATCCCAGGTGAACCCAACAGCTAAGTGACGATGGCTGGCCCATCTCAGCACGGCCGGAAGGGCCCTAACCCAGCTCTTCCCCATGGAAAGAGAGAACATGTCACAGGTTCATTCTCCTTCCCTCTGTGGAACCAAAGGACTCAGTGAGGGCCAGGCTGTCCCAGGAGAGGACGGGCAGCTGCACCCCGGTGTCAGGCAGGTTCTCCTGGGTGGGGGCCTGAGCTGAGGGAAGCACAAACACGCCCTGCGGGTGGGGAGCAGACACCACCTCCCCTAGCGGACAGAGCAGGCTCCACCAGAAGGACAGGAGGACGCATCCATTGCTATTCATCAGACCCATCACACAAGCTCCTCATCCCAACAGGCCTCTCCTCTCCTCTCCTCAAAGGCCACCTTTGTTACTTCCACACTAAAAGAGTTGCTGTCTTTATTTCAAACTTCACAACTGTTTCCCTTGGCCCTAGAGACACCTAGATGAAACACAGTATCCCGATTACTCAGTAATAAGCAAAGCAGCAACCATCTATTTTCATTTTCTCTGCCCACACAATAGCTCACATTTGCAAATTGTTTCAAAAAGATCTGGTTCACCAGAAAAAACATTCAAGTTATAATGAACTGTAAAAATGCATCAGAAAAATACACAGAACTAGAAGACAACATAAAGCCATTGTTTATGATTAATTAGGAAGCACCATCATTACTATGGAAATAAATTCAACATCAACAGCAGTAGTAACTGTGAATGTGTACTGAGTTCTTATGTGCCAAGCCCTATGCTTAGAGTTTTATGTGTACTTTCCCATCAAATCCACTCAGCTTTTATCCCTGACTTACAAAACTGTACGAAAATTAGTAACATACCCAAGTCATAGATGGCTAGGACTACACTACTTTTAATTATACCTCTATAGACAAATGTAACTTTATTTTTTTAAAAAGTCTGATTTCTGACTTTGGTCACATTCACCAAGAACTCAATTTATACTTTCTAGAGGGAAGTATTTTTTTCTTTACCAACCACCACAGAATCCAATTAAAATGTAAATCAAAGATGGCGAAAACTTTCAGAATTCACAGCACCAGGTCCTGACCTGTAAGCAGTAACAACTCGCTCCGTTCAAGACCCTAGCAGAAATTCAATCTGCAGGGAGACGGAGACGTCTTCCAGGGGCCTCGCGGTTTACCAGAAAACAAACCAGTTGGAAGACCTTTTCAGCGGGCAGCAGAAACAATCTTCCCGCTCATGAGCACACAGAATTGGGAAGAGAAACCACCATAGCTCCAAGACTGACAGCGGCCGGATCAAAGCAGCCACAGGCGGTGAGACCCGCCAAGGGACAAGGGGGCCTCAGGGCAGCTGCGCAGCGTGGCTACCAGCAGAGAGGAAGCGGTTTTCTTCCTGCTCCCGGCACTGAGAGATTCGACACATTGTCCCATCTGCTTCTGGTGCAGCCGCCCCTAAGCATCTAATCCACCCTGTGTCCCAGTCTTGCCTCTCCATGGTATGAGGCAGGTGAGCACGTCCAGGCGTGAGCGCTGTGCGCTCCCCCTCCTCCATCTGGCTAGTTCGGTAGCTAAGACACGGCTCTGCTGGCTGGAGGCTCTGTTAGTTTCTGGGACCCAGTAACCCAGGTGTGGTCTGCAGACCTGCAGCGGCAGCACCTGTGAGCTTGTCGGCGCTGCAGGGCCGGAGCTCCTGCCCCAGAACTGCTGGGTCAGCCGCGTTCAGAAGACCCGTGAGTCGGGCGCATGGTAAGATGACAGGGCCTCTCCTCAGAGTGTCCGAGGGAGTCCACCTGCGGGGGGTTGGAGCGCACATCTGAAAGAAGCGCCTCGGGTCACCCTGGGCCAGATCAGCTTCTGACAACATTTGGGAGGGAAACCTGCTTGCTGGTCCAAGCAGTGTTATATTCCTTGTAGTAATCTGAGTCTTTGACTAAAACTGGACATTCTGGCAGACTCAAGTATAAGGAAAAATTTGAAAAGTCAAGAGTAGAAGTTGACAAAACATTTCATGAACTTTTAAAAGCCAGTACGTGCAAACTAAATTGACCTGACTAAGAATCAGAGTCCTCTGGGGTTTTTGTTTTTTTTTAACCACACAACTCAGTCTTCTTGGGAGATTAGGAGTCTGCACCTCCGGCCCTCTCCTGCGGAGTCACTGCTACAATAAACCACTGTGACCCATGAGGAGGGAATGAGACGATGAAAGGTGACTGCCGGGTAACAAGAAGACAATGAAATCACTCGAAATAGAGTGAACAGACATGTCTGTGGCCACTGTGTTGGTCTTTTTCCGTCCAGACTTATATACATCCACACATATACCGACATGCATTTTACGTCGAATTGGGGTCAGATGGTATACGCAGTTTTGTATCTTTTTTCATTTAACATTTTTATCACATGGGTATTTTCCTGGGCTGGGGATTTAGCTCAGTGGTTCCGCTGGCTGCTTCGCAAGCCAAGTTCCCGAGTTTGATCCCTGGTACCAAAAAATAACGCACATGGGTATTTTCCCAAGTTACTAAATATTTCCTAAAGTACATAGTTGATATGAGTCATAAGTTTTTATTTATTATATTGCTAGAGCAGAATGCATTCTCTCTCAACTTCCTGCACTCTGGGTGTGCATAAGGTTTTTCTTTTCTCCTTTTTAAATTTTTTAATTCTTTGCTCTGAAATAGCTCCTACCCACTCCCTTTGATGCTAGACTTTTGTGTTTAGTGGTCTCCACCTTTGTAGTGATTTCCTGCAGTGCACCCCTATATTTCACTAAATCTGCTTTGCTGCTCTTAAGTCTGACCAGCACTGTCCTGTCCTCCCTGAACCCCATCACCTCCTCCCAGTGATTCCGGAACCTCCAGCCGTCGCACTGGTCTCAGGACCCATGAAGAAAGTGCATCAGCGGGGGCCCTGGGTTCTGCAGACAGCAGTCACCACCCTCCAAGCTCAGCCCAGCCCGATCTGAAGCTGGCTGCAATGGACTGTAACCCAAAGCATGAACCAGTCTCACAGTAAAACCCCTTGGGAAAGGATGCACATTACATTAAGCGTCTCCTAAAGACTTACAGTGTTGAGGCACATTAACCTAAAAGGCAGAGAGCTCCTCCAATGAGATTTATTTTTAAAACTTCGCCAGAGGTGGAGAAAATATTCAATGAAGAAATGGTGAACTGAAATAGTGTTCAGGTTCCCTTGTGTTTTCTGTGGATAGATACTGTTTTGCTGAATTAAAAACACAGAACCCCTCCTGAATGGAATATACGCTATCTCCAAAGACCACACGTATTTTCACAGGCGCTGACCTCACCCAGCAGCACTGCGGACGCTAAAGTGAGGGATTTGCTTCCTGGCGACCATGGCCAAGGGCAGCAGGGTCAGCGGCAGCCTGCACGTGTCCTGGCCCAGGACTGAGGGACCCTCTCTGGGGCGGGTCGCAGGGCCATGCTGTCTTCAGCACCTCTGCAAACCACTTTTCCCAGCTGTACCCTCGGGCTTCAGTGCTACTTCCAGTTCACAGGTGGGCAGAAATGGGGAGGAATAATGGAAAGACAGACTTTTCAAAATGAGACAATATTAAAATGAATGCTCAGAAAAATGTTAGCCCCGTTAGAATGTCTTTTCACATTAATCACCAAATTTTCTTGACTCCTAAGGCAGCAGAGTAATGTGAATGTCATATTTAGTTAAGCCATGAATAAAAAAGCACATTATAGGGTCACTAAGAGATGGAAAGACAAATAAGCAAAGAAGAGCAAAGGACTGAGGGAAAGGAAGAAGAAATTACAAAGTATGAACTTCAAAAAATAAACAGATACACACCAACAAAATGTACACTTAGGGTTACCATCTAATTTTCCTAAAATATACCTAATGACCCAAAACATACACAGCCACCACCAAATTAAAACTCAATCTCTCTTTAAATGAATGGTGACGTAAGGAAAAGAGTTTAATTGAAAGTCACATACCTGGGGAAAAGCAGCTCAACTTTTCTCCCTTAAAAACTATAAATATCAGGATTCTACTCACCCAGTAAAAAATTACAGATAATTCAATAAAAGACACAATGTTTGATCCCATCAGAGAGAAGTGGATAAACGAAAAGGAGAAACTGGTCATGTACAGAAAGGAGGTTGAAGGAGTGAATGCAAAGGTAAAATAAGCAGATTGAAACAGGACAAATGAATAAGAAATACAAATTAAAACAACACTGAGATTCCATCTTACTCCAGAAAGAACACCTGTTGTCAAGAAATCAAATAATAGCAAATGCTGGCGAGGCTGTGGGGAAAGGAACCCTTCCACATTGTTGGTGGGAATGGAAACTGGTACAACCACTATGGATATCAGTATGGAGAGTCCTCAAAAATCTAAAACCTAGAATTCCGTTTGACCCAGCTACACCCCTTCTAGGTATCTTCTTGCAAGAGTTAAACTCATCACAGCACAGTGATCCATGCATTCCCATGTCTACAGCAGCAAACTCACAACAGCTAAATCCTGGAAGCAGCCCATACATCCATCAGTAGATGAATGGATAAAGACAGTGTGGTATTTGCACGCAATGGAGCACTGCTCTGCCACAAAGAAAGACAAGCTTAACTCATTTTTTGGAAAATGGATGTGGCTTGAAACCATAATTAGGTGAAATAAATCAGTCACACAAGTTTAAATGTCACATGGTTTTTCTTATATGAGAAAACCAAAGTATAAATAAGAGCAAAACAAAGGAGAGATAATAGGAAGTGGGAGATGGCGCTTTCTCGAAGGAGAAGAGGATGGACAGATGGGAGGGAGGGGATGAGAGTAAGAATCCAGATGCGTCACATCCATGTGCCAACTCCTCAAGGCGAATGTGATCATTATGCACTGTAAACATGTACTCAGAAAAATTAAAATTTAAAAATATGGTAAAATTCCAACTCTGGCCTGGTGACACAAAACAAACGTCCCCCCCAGGACTGGCCTCTGCCCAGGGCCTCTGTCTGTGGGTGGCGCCGCCCCTCAGCCTGCCCCTGCCCGCCTGGCTGTGGCCTGCCACCTCCGGGGCGTGAGGCACTGCCCCCACTGCTCGCCTCCTCCTTGTCCCCTGGCCCGCTCCCTCAGATGCCTGCCTGCGGGCTCTGTGCCAGACCCTGAGCGCTTCCTCCTCTCTCTTGAACACAGGGCCACCGCACCTGGGGCGACTGTCCTTCCCGCCAGACAGGGGCCCTCTCTCTCTGCTTTACCTCTGCAAACCCCACGCCCTGTAAGTGCTGGCCCTCTGAAGGGCACTCCACCATGTCCACTGAATGAATGAGTGAAGGAATGAGTGACCTGGAGGATTAAATGTTAGATGGCAAGGAATACAGTTGAGTTTTCCACCTCCGAGGGCTTTCAATTGAGCCCGACTGTGTTGGGAGAATTCCCGTACCAGATAAGAGCTGTGACAGCCCTGTGTCTGTGACGGTCTGTGACGGCCCTCCCACGTCGACACATCCCCTGATTCGCCCACTCACACTGACTCCCCCCGGCTCTTCGTAATGCTCATCGAGAGGTCTAACATCACGGGACTCACTGAACACATCTCCTCTGGGCTTCTGCGGGTCCGTGTGTATCCTGTTGTCCACTGTGACCCCCGGCGCGGAGGTGCCATCGGCCGGAGCTGTGGTTGTCAGCCTGGTTCTTGGCAGTTCTGGGGTTGGTGGCGGCGGAGGAGCTCTGAGCTGCGTTGGCAGGGCGGGCGGCGGCGGAGGAGTTGGCTGTGGTGTTGGCCTCAGCGTAGGTCTTGCAGTTGGCCGAGGGGTGGGGCTGCTGGGAAGGCCAGGAGGGACAGATGGTGTCCTCGGAGGCCCCCTGGTACTGCCGGCCTCGGGGATCCAATTGCTTTGTCCTCCATCGCCCTTTATAATGGTCCTGTTTCCCTGCAGTCCGTGAATTGGACCTGAAGGTTCGATCATGACTTTGGGAATATCTGAAAGGTCGAAAGATGTCAATCAACAGGAGATCATTTTCCTCTAAAAAGGGGAACATCAGGCTGTGAAGAAGACACATGAAAACATCTTATACCGACTAGTGTTCCTTCTCATATTTACGTTATTCCCTACAGCAAGTCGTGCTATTTTCCAAATAACAAATGTGTTTGGACATATGCAAAAAGAAGTAGTATCTCCACAAGGAATATGTATTATTTGAAACACAAAAAGCTTTAGGTGCCTCATTTCTCTGAGCATTTGAGTACATCCTTTATCTACCTCTGGTAAATCCTCCTCATGTCTCTTTAAAAATAAAAGTTTTAACTATTTGCAAAGTGGTAACAGGCAATGATCAAGAAGACCATTTCAAATGCAGATAGTGTTACTCATTTTTCAGTAGAGACCTGTGTAGCGTCCGTCCCTGTGCTACATGTATGTAATAAAATTGTGGTCAGAATTATCTAGTGATTAAAACTTTTCTCACCCACACTTTATGTAAATTCAATTAATGTTTAAACGGTTTGACTAACTATTCTTCATTTTGTGTTATAGTTAGCTTTCCTTCCCTCTTATTCATCTATACAACTGCTTTCTAAAAACAATTTTCGAGGTTACAAAGACCATTTGTGGAAACTTTCCCTTGACAATATTCACCAAAAAGAATCAATAACCTGCCTGGAATGGTATCCTACAGACTAGGAATGAGGACTGCATGACCCTTTAATCCCCTCGATTTCATACCCCATGGTTTTCAGTAAATATTTTACTCAGGAAACTTTAAAAATTATCTACTGTTACATGGAAAGTATGCCTTTGGTTTACAAAACTCTCATCTTGGAGAGTTCGCATTTCTTCATGTTTGTCTAGGAATACACCATTGCTCCAAACAGCTCACAAACTTAAAAGCAAACGTTCTGAATGCAGAGAAAATACACATGGGAATTGTTTTTTATAGAATTAGGAGACACAACTTAGACAACAAAAACATGGACTATAATTATCTGATAATGATAATCTGATGCTAATGACAAACATTAATTTCTAATTTTAACAAAATTAAATTCTCAGGGAGGATTCTAATTTTGTTTCTAGCTAAAAGGAAGCTATAGAGGGATTTTAATCAAGGCATTCTAATGCTTATAAGATCAGATAGAATGTATTACTGGGTTTTTAAAAATACATGAGCAAGTGATCTTATTGTTTGTGAAAAGCCCAGACTCATATCATAGCTATGAACATAACAGCTCCTTGGTAAACATGTTTTTGTGTCTTGTGCAACACTGCCATTCATGTAGGATGGAACAGGAGGTGGATGGCGAGAGCTTACAGCAGCGCAACACACAACAGCTAAATCCTGAAGCAGCCTATATGTCCATCGCGGATGAACAGATAAGGAAAATGTGCACTTACACACAATGGAGTACTACTCTGTCACAAAGAAGGATAAACTTGAGTCATGTGGAGGAAATGGATGCACCTTGAGACATAATGCTTAGTGAAGTAGATCAGACACACAAGCTTGAATATCATATGGTGTCTCTTATGTGAGCAATCCAAAGTGTAAGTCAATCAAACAGCAAAATAAAAGATAATAGTGGGAAACAGGGAGCTAGATCTTCTGCAAATGACGGGGACGGAGAGAGGGAGGGCGGGAGAGCGGGTGAGAACAGGACCGTGAGGTGTGTGCACACGTTGGCTGTGACGCGCCGCAGAGGCACACTGACATGATTTTCAAAGAAGAATTTTTAAAAAGCTACTCACACACGCAGCTCAGCCCGTCGCCCTGGTAACCCTTGACACACTTGCACACGTACGAGCCGTGCACGTTGTAGCACCGGGCAAAGCCACTGCACTGGTGCTGCCCGAGGGCACACTCATCTGTATCTGTGTCAGAAAGCAGGGAGGAAATGGTTTCTTTAGGAGCCAGATATGAAGACATGAAAAGTACAGTCTCAAAGGGGAGTGAGTGTGTGTGAGTGTGCGAGTGGCAACAGGGATCGAAACCAACGCCCCCACAAATGACAGCTCCAGCCTTGTCTGTTTTTTTTGAGACAAGGTCTTGCTAACTTGCTAAGTTCCACAGACTGGGCCCACACTTGCAATTCTCCCGCGTCAGCCTCCCCGAGTGCTGGAATTACAGGTGTGTGCCACCATGCCTGGCTAGGATTTTTCTTTTTGTAATATGAAGGTCTGTACAAAATCAGCAGATAAATGGAAGAAATGAAGGGCATGTGGATCCAGAGCTAGCAGTGGTTGAGCAGGATGTCGGTTGGCTTAATTTAATGCCGGCCCCTCCCCTTCCCTAACATCGAAGAGACCTCTAAATGCCATGGGAGGAAACCACAGTACCGTGACACTGGTATTTGCCTCCGATGTACAAGAGCTCGAAGCCTTTGTGACACTTGCAGATGTAACTCCCGAAGGTGTTGACACACTGCCTGAACCTGGGGCAGGACACTCTTCCCGTGGTGCATTCATCAATATCTAGAAGACAAGACAGCTTGTCTTAGGAGGGCAAGGGCGTGTTTGGACCCAGCTCAGCCAGCTCCTCAGAAGTGGCCTCCAGCTGGCGGCCCCAGGGCAGCACAAATTCCACTCCAAATTCCAGCTCTGCCGACAGGCTGCTCCTCTCTCTGCCCTGCCTGCGTCTGCCGGCTGCTCCAGTGAGAATGAGTCACCTGCCAGCCTGTGGTTCCATTCACCAAGTCCTCGGCCCTGTCTGCCCACAGCCCCGACCTGTCCCAGGGTGCTGGCTCGGGGCTGGGCTGCTCCGAGTCCCCAGACTGGGGCTCCTGCCAGTCTGGCCCTCTGGCTGGGCATCCCTACAGCGCTGTCCCTGCTTCACCAGGCGTCAGTCAAGAGCCCCGCTGCGCTGGTGCAACCCACATTCTCCTGCGTCCTTGGAGGCTGGCAGTGCCCGCTCTCACGGCTCCACCCGCACCCCGCATGCTGAGCCACAGCAGGCCACCTCCTTCCCACATCCTCCCTCACGCCCCAGCCCAGGGTCCCGCATGGTTCCTGGCCCAGGCCTGCTCCAGGCCCCCAACCCTGGACTTCTGTCTCTCTGCCATGGGTCAAAACCTGGCCTGCCTTGTTCGTCACCATCCACCTGGCACTGAGCACCGAGCGGGGACAGGAGGTGCTCACCGATGCAGCTTCCAGTCACCCGGTACCTGCCCTCACTCACACTCTGCACACTGACCTCGTGGGCCAGCCAGCCTCTGCCCGTCCTAGGACAAGGAGACCCGAGCTCAGGGAGCCCCCATGCTGTGTGTCAGTGCAGGGCACAGCAGGTTCGAAACCAAGGCCCAGACTCAGCAGGGTCCTCTCCCGCCACCCTGATTTTCGGGACGCAGCCCCGCCCCGCCCCTGTGGAGCAGCACACACAAGCTGGCCATCCCACCCAGCCTCGCCTCTTCCACGGCTCCCATCCTAGAACACCAGCTCGCTTGTTTCCGGACACCTGCTCCCTCGGGCCCTGGGCCTCCTCCCACAGAGCCGGGCCCAGAGGACGCTGATCGCTCGCTCCTCACACCCGGCGCAGCCTGTCCTCCATCCTCCATCCTCGGTCCTCCCGAGGCCAGGGCCTGCTATACTCACCCACACAGGTCCTCCCGTCAGGAGCCAGCCGCAGGCCCGGGGAGGGGCACTGGCATCGCACCTGTCCTTTGACAACGTCACAGCCGTACTGACAGTTTGCCATGGAGCACGACAGGGCACCTGGAAGAGAGTGGCCGTGACTCAGAGAGGCAGAAACCATAAGCTGGAGTCTCTCTGTCCGCAAATCAGTGACATTGGATCAGTGAGGACCATGGCCTCCGAGACCCAACATTCTGAGGTAGAAATGGGGCGGGGTGGAAGGACCTCCTTCCTCCAGGACGCCTCTTACTGGGCCAGCTCTGCCACCCCATGCTCCAGAAGAATCTGCAGACAGACGTGAAGTGTCTGTCACTCGGATTATGTAGAAATTTCTCCCACGCCGGAGGAAAGTGGAGAGCAGCAGTATTTCCCAGACTACTCCAGCCGAGTGAGGCTCTTAAGCCAAACCTCCAAGTGACTGTGGTGGCTGGAACCTCTCAGTGGACAGGGACAGGGGACAGGGGACCCACTGCGGGCACGATGGATCCCAGGGTCAAGGCCACGCCCTGATCATCCCACCAAGGCCATCTAGGCTCACATAGTGCAATTAGCAAAGCTTCTCAGTGCTCAAAATGCAACCCGGCTAACTGGTAATTTGGTAAAAATAAAAATCAAGTCATTAGTTGCTAAATATCAATTTGATGTTCAGCCTGTGGAGAATTTCAGGGCCCCGTCTTTTATTTTAACACATCCAAAGGACAGCAGGGACACGAAGCACATCTCCCCTGCAAAGCAAGACGCAAAATCTACTTTTCTGACATTATACCTGTTTATGTTTTACTTTTTCTTTTTAAAAGAGTCTTAGACTAAAGTCTAAAGTCTTTAGACTACTATAAAGAGTTATGAGAATGAAGTGAGAAGGTATTTATGAATGATTTAAAATCACTCAACAGGCCCGATGTATTCTCTCTGAACAGGCCAGATGTAGTATTACCCAAATAATCACCATGGTTCTTTTTTCTACCTGAAATAGTTGTTTTGGGTCCCATAAAAGTCTGGAATAAAAACTTTGGAGAAAAACATTTAGGAAACGTCCTCAGTTTTGCGATTCTTATCCTAAATACTATTTCCAAATCAACTTTGACATGCACGGTAAAAGAATATCACACATCTAAAATGAGCACCTCTCAGCTGGCTGTGGTGCTATATGCTTACAACCCTAGCACTCTGGGAGGCTGAGGCAGGAGGACTGTAAGCTGGAGCCCAGTGACAGTGAGTCCCTGTCTCAAAATTTTAAAAAATAAACATAAAAAAAGGCCAGGGATGTAGGTCAGTGCAAAGGAAAGCCCTGGGTTCAAATCCCAGTACTGCCAAAGATAAAGCACAGTGAGCCCCTCTCGCTTTGACTTCAGCTCCTTGGCACACACAGGAGCACACGCCACGCCCGCGTGAGGATCCGAGAGGCCACTCCCTCCCGTCAGACGCCAGCGCGCAGGCGACAGCCGGGCTCTCGCGTACTTGCGCAGGAGCCGTCGGGCATGGGCATGTGGCCGCTGAGGCAGTAGCACTTGTAGCTTCCGAGCGTGTTCATGCAGCGGTGCTTGCAGGGCCGCGGCTTCAGGCCACACTCGTTCAGGTCTGGAAAGAAGGAGGCGGAAGCAGAAAAGAGAGTCACAAACCTTGGCACTGGGGAGAAACACTTAAAGCCGCTTGATGTTGAAACCTGAGGGAGAGAAGTAGGTAGAGGTTGGCGCTACACGGAGCGGATTGGGGCAAACGTGCGTGCACCTGTGGCAGCCAGGCTGGACTCGGGCAGGGGCCCCATCACCTCCTGGCTGTCACACTGCCAGCAGGCTCAGGCCTTCTCTGTTTCCGGCAGATGCGGCGCGAGCACAGACAAAGCACATTTTACTCTCCTGTAAGGAATACGAATCTTAAAACATTCGACTGCTCGCTTCCCAAAGGACGGCTGCACTTTCAGAGGTAAGACCCACCGGACCTGGACTGATCGTCAGCGTGGCTTCTCTTGTTCCTTTTTGTGAGGCCACGCTGATCCCAGATTAAAGAAGAAAATTCAGTTTCCTACTTCGGTAACGTACTCAAGTCACAAAACTTTGAAAAAATTCCTCCAACGTATTTTCATTCTTTGGCAGGGAAAAAGAGCATGTAGAAATGCTAATGGGCAGAACACAATGAACTATCATTATGCTTTTTATGTTCATCGATTTAAAAATCAAGATGAAATGAATTCTGCATCATGAAGTTTTCCAAGTTGAGCACCCCCTCAAGTGAACATAAAATGCATAATGGCATCCAAACACAGAAACAGGAACGCCTATTACATTACGCTAGGAAGAAATGTGACATGTTTGTGTACCTGACTAGCATAATTATCTGTTAATCTATAGTATTGAATACTAAATATGGATAATGTATCTAGTTAGAAAGCTATTTTCAAATCTAATCAAATTTAAATCTGACCAGCTCACCGATTAGGAATCTATGTGCTTCATTCAAGTAAATTACCAAGTTATTCTTTAGATCATCAAATAATTATTGTATTTAAGAATATTTTCCTGTCTTACTGACTTCTCAACTTGCTTTTTTTTTTTCTACCCATAACAAAAATGTAAGCAAGTCCCTAGCTGTGCAAAGCTGAGAAAGGTTATAATAAATGAAGCGAATAGCTTTGTTCTTTCCTCCACTTTCTGCGATGCTCCATTTTATTGTCTCTTGCCTGGTCAAGGGTTTTCAAAACAATATTTCAAAAACATTTTCCCCATAGAAAATGGCTGTGTAAAAAAGCTGATCTCTCCTTTTATTAAACAAACTAAAACTTGAGGAGGAATGACTAAGAAAGAAATTCCTCTTTCCACCTTCTCCCACCTTGGATTTGAATATTTATTGAAAACCTGAGTCAAGCAATCTTCTCTCTCAACTTCTAAGTGGAGTTCATTATCGTTCCTAATATGATCATGCGGCCTTACACTCGGCTTAGAGAAATCCTGATTGCTATCATATTAAACAGTATTTAAATCTCAGTATACTATAAGAAAAAAGCTTTGTTTTGAATATTTTCTGCAGGAAAAAAACATATAACAAGATAGCACCAGAAGCCAACAGAGTATAGGGCACTGATAGGTTTTTTAAAAAGCATGAATTAAGAACCCCCAGGTTTATTTGTGGGACTGGTGCAGGTGGCCCAGGAACAAGGAGTGTATGTACGCTGGATAAATCCCAAGGGCTGAGCCCCTGGGGCTGCCCTCCGGCACCTGGCTGCAGGGCTGGCTCTCCACCAGCCCCGCCAGGACCCCCGAGGGCGCATCTCCACATTCCCCAGGCTGCACACCCAACTCAGCCTTCCTCTCCGTGGGAGGGGACTGTGGGGTAGACATCACGAACAAAAGGAAATAAAACCCGGTAAACTTCCGTAATTCCAGAGACATCTGGGAATCGCTCTGTGAAGCAGCAGGGAAAAGCGCAGTACTCCGCGTAGTATTCCGTGGTGACCGCAGATCAGTGTCGTGGCTGCTGTAGCTGTAGCTGTCGCTGCCCTGGCTCACCAGCGCCCAAGTCCGTGGAAAGCACTCTGACCCGGAAGTGCTGTGAAAGCTGTTGATGGACGGACGGGTGGCTTCCCCGCCAGGTGGGCGTGCTCTTATCTCCAGCGAGGGCATCACTGCCCCACCCGCCGCAGGCAGGTGGCTCCTGAAAACTCTCTGTGAGCCTTACCCAGACTGCCTCAGGCATCAAACACAGGCCCACGGCCTCTGGGTCTATCAGTCCGGCCACACAGCGGGTCCTGCTGAGACAGGAAGCCTCGAAAGGCCATGCTGCCAGCGACCTGGGGAGGACGGCCTTGCCCCTGCGTCCCGGAAGCTTTCTGTTCTAGAATTATGTTACCTGACTTGTATTGATCTGAAGCCTTATAAATTGAATTAATATGCACTGCTTCCAATAAATGCTGTATTCATTATCATAATATACCGTTAATCAATAATATTGTTATTAAATATAAACTATAAATTGACTCTACTGCTATCATTAGAAATTCAAAATAAAGACCATGAAAAGTCTCCTTGGTTCACACTGTCTCAGATGTTAAAAGTTGTTAAGAGAAACTAGGAAATAAAAATTAGAGTTTTTATTCTGAATTTATTTCAACCTTGCTCTTTCTCTGGAAGTGTCTAATAAAATATAAATTATCAGGAAAATCCATAATAAAAAATGTAATGAGTTCTATCATGTACCTGGTCTCATACCAAAGGATAGAGTTTTATAATTTAACCACTTACATTCAAATGCTCTAAACACGATACACATGATTCCTCAGGAGCATTAGCACGAGAAGGGCACTGAAGCAGGGGTGGATTCAGGAACTTGGGCAGGAGGAGAGGATGCCGACAGAGCTCTGGAACAATGCAAGCTGCAGGGCTTTCTTATCACACTTCAGGGCAAGGGCGATGGGAGGGGATAGCATGCAGACGCTGGGAAGGAAACAGCTTGGAAAACATGAGAAGAGATGCACTGAACATGATGACCCTGCAGGGCTTCAGAACCATCTTTCATTCATTTTAATGCATTTGAACCCCTCTGATGCTTATTAAATTGAGCAATGTTTCAGGAACCTAAGATTTTGCTGTTGTTGTTAGGTTTTTTTGGTTTTTGTTTTTTTAGTACTGAGGATCAAACTCAGGACCTTGCGCCTGTGAGGCAGGTGCAGTGCCACTGAGCTAAATCCTGGCCCCTAAGTTTTTCAAATTTATCTGATGAAAGTGAGGTCACAGGCAAGCAGATGTTAATGGATTAACTTCCATGTTTTCAACTGATTAAATTATGGGAAGGTATTCAAATGTGTCACATTCTTTATCAGCTGAGATAATACTTATTAAAAAGCTATTTTATTTCAGCTATTCTAAGCTCCTAACCCTAGGAATGGGTAAGAAACACAGTCTCTTAGAACTGTAAAATCAGCTGACCACTTTACTTTTCTGCAGCACTTTCCAGCACAGTGAAGATACTGAGATTGTCCACGACCCTATTTTCACAACAGTGCTGCTGGCAAACAGGGCAGAGGCCATGGTTCCCCATGACTGGTCAGTTTGCCGAGGCCCAGGCACAGTGAATGACCTACTCACAAGCCGTCACTGGAAGAGAACTTACGCTTTCTGACACTGCAAAATGCAGTGAAAGAAAGAAGCCAGGGTGTAGCTGGACTCCACTGGAGAGGAGAAGGTGAAGCTACCATTCGCCATCTGCAGTAGACAGTGGCGGGGAAAGGGATTCACTCACTCCTAAATCCACCCGCCAAGAGGCATCCACGCCCCAGCTCAGTTGCTTCCAAATTCCTGACTTGGCTGCGTATGAAAACAAAAGCTATTTGCTGTCTGGTTTTGGGAAAAGATTTTAAAATCCAGAAAAGAGGAAGAAAGGCGGTGATGCTGATACAGTACAAGGACAGTGAGCTTCCGTGCTTTGAGCATAGAGAAGGAGCAGCAGAGGACTCGTCCTGCCGTGGGCTCCACGTGCTCGACTGAAGGCTCTGCGCTCATGGCGGGACTCCAGCACATTTGCAAGAGGTGACAGTGGCAGGCAGCCGTGCAAGGACAGAGCGGGTCACCTGCGACAGCGCGCTCACCCTGTGAAGGTAAACTGGTGGTTTGATGATCCGGGGGGTGGAAAGGAGACTGCTCACTGCCTTGGTCAAGAGGAGCTGGGTAGGAGAGGCCATCTTCATACCGGAAGAAGGTAACAAGAGTCAGCTTTACCTGATGTCATTTGTAGCTCTAAGAATCTTTACAAGTATATAGTAAACAATTACACAAAGTTGAAGGAGTTTAAAAAGAACTCTTTAGATACTTCACCAAAGAAACAGTTTCTAGTTCTGCCTTTCCTTTTATTTAAATTTTATTTTCCTAAAAACTTATGTCATCTTGCTTCTCAAAGGCAATATGCATGTTATAAATTAACAATGCAGCATTCTCATACCATTTTTTAAAACCACTAAAAAAGAAATGGTCGTTTTAAAAACCATGATTTTAGTGATCAACAGAAGGGTGAAAACAACAAAAAAATTATACAAATAGGATTACAGCCAACCTACTCAGATTAGGGGTGTTAAAGCCTTAAATTACCAAGTTAAGATCTTTTTCATACATTGTTATATTGGACAATAATAGTTTAAAATATGCAGAAGGTATGCAAATTTATGATTTGCATGGCAATCTTACTGAAATAGCGGCATGATAGATCATCTGTGTTTTCATTCAGAAGTTAAGAATTTATACCACATTTAGGTCACACTTAATTAAAAGAAACATAGAAGCTTTACACAAAACATATGGTTGCCAATATTAGCTGTTATGGTTTAGATCTAAAGCGTCTTTCAAAGTCTCATGTGCTCAGAGGTGGAGCCTGGTCAGGAGGGATAGGTCACTGAGGATGTGAACTAGAAGTGTCTGCTCTAGTCCTTGCTGCGTCTCTTCCCTGTTTCCTGCCACCATGAGGTGAGCGGCTTTCCTCTGCTAGGCCCTTCCACCATGCCCTTCATGCCTTGGAGCCAGCTGACCATGGACTGAATCCCCTGAACTATGAGCCTTTAAGTTGTGGATATTGGGTATTATGTCTCAGCAACAGGAATACTAATACTTTTGCTTAGTAGCAAGAAGTCAATCTCATACTGTTTTAATAATCAGTTAAACATCCAAATCAAAGGCATATTCATTTCTGGGGTGGAAAACATACTTCTTTCAAAAAGTAAGGCTGTAGGAAATAGTATCTTAATATTAGTGTTAAAGCACTTCAGTTGGTGTTTAGTAAAGTCAAATTCCAAGTATAATTAGTACCCAAAACTTAGTGTCTGGTTCTATGGGACAAAATACTAATTCTTTTCTTGGGATGAGGAATTCAACATACGAAATGTAAACCAGACCAAAGTATTAATAATTGATATTTATAAATTATTTCTTCTGAAATTAAAGTACACGGTAAATTCAAAAGAATGTCTTTCATTTCTAAAACATATGAGATGGTTATCTATAATAGTATTGGATTTTGGATGGGGAGGAGAAGAGAGGTGTGTAGTAGGTACAGAGGCTCGAAGAGAAGAAAAATATATGCCTGGGTAAAACTGCCAGAGAATGCAACAAGGTGGGGAGCAAGCAATCAAAGCGAATGTGGTCAAAACCTAGGTTAGAATCTCCTCTCCAGCGGAAGGTATCCTGGGCCTTAGGGAGCACGCTCGTGATCACTCCCCAACCACGACTTCCTGTCTCATCCGGGTAATGACTCAGAGGGAAGAGCGACCCCCAACAGCCGCCTCAGCCTGTGGCCAGGCTGTTAAACTCAGCCAGCTCCCAAGGGCTGCTTTCCTGGCTCTCTGCTTGCTCCAGACGGCCCACACTCATGCTGTTGAGCTGCCAAGCAAGTTGCCTGGGGCTGTTCTTTAAAGTATGTAACTCAAAGCAAACTTCTTAGCCAATACTTGCCTTACACCAAACCTCCTTCTAATCAATCACTCATTTCCAGGTCTGTGAAATGATTTCAAATGTACTTCATGACTTTTCTCTCCTTGAGAAAAAAGAAATGGGCTTGACTACCCTGGGATTGGAGTTGTATTTTCTGCTCTACTGACATGTGGGCCTGGATGGAAACAGTCTCATAGGCACGACTTGCCCTCCCAGGTGCTGTGAGGGCTCCTCCCAACCTCTCAACCCAGCTGGCTCCCAGTCCGTGGACTCAGACGCCATCTAAGTGGAGGCACCAGACAACTCTGTGGCACTCTTTCAAGATCCCACAGCATTTAGAACCAAGCACCATGACATCAGTCAATCACTTATTTATCAGGTATTTACTGTGCACACGGCATGTGCAAGTTACCCCGCGACGGCTTCCCAGAGCCCAGAGGTCAGAGACACAACAAAGGGCTCCTGCAGAGAGCAGGACTCGGCAAGGGGCTGCAACTGCCTTTCCTTGGCTTCCCAAAGGGGGCAAAGCGAGAAATGACCAAATCCCTCATGTTTACTCTGAACTGGAGTTTTATTTTCAAGATTGGGCTTCAAATTACATCTTCAGGGTCTGGGCTATTTCTGCAGGTGTAAAATCCCATTTCACCACTATTAAAAGTCTTCCCCTTGAGGAATATGGCTCAGGAAGGCACCATTTTAACTCGGCATATTCCAGTTCTCTTTAGAAAACGAGGTGTGCATTACAGGAAAAAGTGCATGGTAAACTGGCTTTCTGGAAATCAAAGATGCCCAGTGGTGGAGCTTCATTCCTCATAATAGTTTTAGCATCATTGAAGGACTAAAATCGATGCTAATCCTAGGAATAAATTTAAACACACTTCTCCCATCTCAGAAGCGGCTTCCTTTAACAGTCTTCTTTATGTAAATTCCTGGCACTTGACAACAAAGGCTTAGAGTGTTGACACATTAATGAGCCCTCTGAGGTTATGGTTACCACATTAAAAGAAGAATATTCAGGCTCTGAAATGAACACTGATAACTCAATCGCTAGAACATAGCAGGCTGCTACTTGTGAACTCACTGCATTGGGGAAGGAAGGACAGTCAGATGGGTTTTTCAAGTTAGCCAACATCACTTACTCCAAAAAGATTACCCAAGTATGTCTGGTAAACTCCAAGTTTAAAAAAAGTATCATAAGACAGAAAGGGAGCCCTGGAAAAATCAGTTATAAATCAAATGCTGATAATATAAAATGTGCTTTAGGACAAGCTTCTCCCACCACTGGGACAGGTCACATTTTACTAGCGTGGACTTCATCTGATGAATAATCACATACACTGCCAAACGCCAGTGTTCTGGATGGCTGCAAAAGCTATGACCGGGATTTAGCTCAGTGGTTTCGCCCTCTGCTGCGCAAGCGCAAGGACCCAAGTTTGATCCCCAGTACCAAAAAAAAAAAAAAAAAGCTATGACCATAAATCATGGCTTGTATGACAGCCCTCAAGGGCTATCCTGGAATAAATACCAGATACTGAAGTGTTTCAACAGCATCATTTCTGTACCAACAAAGTCAGCTGGATATATATGGGATAGTTAGACCCCACACAGTTATTTCATAGGATATTTAAAATTAGGAGTATTACTTAAGAAATGAGAACAAATACATTATCTTCTTCTCCCGTTAGTGAAATCTAGCCCTAACTTTTCTTTAATCGTAGAGTTTTAACTCCTAGTAGTTGCACATTTTGGCTAAAATTAACTAAGAAGACAAGTCCAACTTTTTGCGTAGGGTCTGAAGACCACATTTCTTGTGATACAGCAGCTATATCATCAAAACTAACATGGCAGAAATAATATGGATTACAGAAACAATAGCTCAACCTGACATACATACTAACTTCTTGGTTTTTGTTTTGTTTTTATTTTGGTACCAGGGATCAAACTCAGTCCTTGTGCTAGCATAGCAGGCGGCAAAACCACTGAGCTAAATCCCCGGCCCATACTAACTTCTTAAACCAACTTCTTCTGTGAACTTGGGTAAGACATGTAATGCCCTGAGCTTCAGTCTCTTCAAATGAAAAGTGGAATGTATGAGTTATTATTTATATCTTTACTATGATAAATAGCACTCTCTCTCCCAATATTCTTATAACAGTAAAAATAGATTTTATATATACAAAATCTATTTATTATGGGACATTGTATCAGAATGATGTTTGTGTTTATAAGCAACTGATGCTGATATTACAAATCACTTCCTAAATTAATCAACATTTTTTTCTCAGAGGACAAACTTGAAGGGAGATTTAAACACATAACCAAAGGATGCAGAGTTGGAAGGGACCTCCAGATTTCAAACCCCACACCCCACCTGGCTTTGGGTATAGAGGGGAGCAGCGGGCCATGAGGACCCTCATGGTTTTCGAAGGCCTCCCTCCACCCAGTTAATGGCAGAACAAGAGGTACCAAACATCACTCTTCTACAGGACTCTCTCTTCAAAATACATCTTAACTAGCACCAGGGAATAAAAAGGGGATCAAATTAATTTAATTGTCTTTGGATTAAAAAAAAAATCTTACAAGATCCACCATTATTCTTTTACCCATCAGCGAAAGGGCGGCTCGCACGCTTGGGGAAGGTGCCCTGGGAAACCGCTTTGGGTGAGCAGCATACGCTGGCCCTACCTTGACTGCAGGTTTTCCCGGCATATCCAGGGTGGCACTTGCACTTGTTCGGCCCAACACATTCGCCATGCTTGCACTGCGGGTGGCACACGGCTGTGAAAAGACAGAATCGTGTGTTATTTCTACGCCACCAGCACATCAATCGTACAGCACTATGCAATGGACCAGTTTGGTCATAAAAGAAAAAAACATGGAGAACTTAAAGTGGCAGAAAGAAACAAAACCACTGTTTCCTGTAGACACAGTACACACTCACAGGTCGTGTGTGCGTGTGCGTGTTGGTATTATTTGGGGCTGGAAAATTTTCTAAACTTAAGTTCAAGACTCAATTAAATGTTTGTCTATAACTGTAACTATAATAACTCACATCAGTAATTCCACATTCATTTTCCTTTTTTTTGGTACCGGAGATCGAACTCGGGACCTTGCGCTTGTGAGGCAGACGCCAGAACCACTGAGCTAAATCCCCAGCCCCTTCATTTTCTTAAATACACTTCGAAAAGGTAGTTCTTAGTCCAAAGACACTGGGTATGGATAAAATCCAGATAAGTTAAATAATAAAACACTTATTTTATCAGAAATGATAATCGAAGTATGAACTGATTCCAAGTGGAACATAATCTAAAGCAAAGCTTTGGAACTTGAGTGTAAGGCCCTCACCAGCACCCCGATCTTCCTGAACCCTGGGCACACTATCACTGCCCTTCCATCCGTGATGGCCTTTCTACGGCAGACGGGGCAGACCAAGCTCGAATTTAACCTTTACTCCCTTCCATCAACTTGCCTCCACTTCCCCTGAGACCTCCAAACGCTGTCAACCACCACTCCTGTCTTTTCCCAGTGTGTGGAGTTTATTCTGTTCACGCCAGCGGTTCTCAGCTCTTCTCTCCACTGGGCACATGTGGCAACGTCCTGAGGCCCTCTGGCCGACACATGTGCAGGAGCACTACTGGCTTCGGTGGACAGAGGGCGTGCTGCTAGCCATGCTAAATACAGACAGCCCATCCGAAGATAGCATGCCAAGCCTGAGACAGCTTGCTAACACTGTACCTAGGATGCTCATGATACCACCGTAGACAAAAAATAAATGTGCAGCACTGTTCTTGGTTTCAGGGGGCCTAGGATCTAGATGAAGGGACAAACTGCCATGTGCCTGTAATTCAAGGTAAGATTTATGACTGAGCAAAAGGGTGGTATGTACGAAATGTGTGAGGAAACCATCGCACAAGCAAATACACACAGAAAGCCCTCAGGCAGGGATTGTGTTAGATCTTAAAGTGTGCAGACAGAAGGGAGAGGATTACGTGAGGAGACAGGGCCACACGGCAAGTGGACCCAGGTGAGTTAGAGGTCACTCAGGACGCTTGCATCACCGAGAAGATGGTAGATGCTGGTGAAGAGCAAGAAGCCATCGCTCGTGAGTGATGTCAGACAGGGTTTCTGAAATCTCACTGAGGAGTATACACTGAGTCTGGGGGGAAGGGGACATTTCCGCAAGCTCATCGTCAGGAGACTGAGGGGGCACGTGGAAGAGCTGGGACACGGACAGGGTGGTCCCACGCAGGAGGAACTGGGAGAAAGCCACGGGCTCACCACTGAGCTGGCAGGCCTGGCGTGTACGTGGGAACCACCGAGCGAAACACCGGCCTTGAACACCCAGGGAAACGGAGTCACAGTGACCCTGAGGTCTGGAGCCTCCAACACCTGTGCTTCCCTCAGCAGCCCATCCCATCCACCCTTCTGGGACCGCTCCAGCTTCCTGGCCAACTCTCAGGCACTGCTTCCCTTAAAACTTCAACGTGTGTGCCTGTCCTGTGCCGCCGCCCTCACCCCCACGCCCCCTCACCACCCTCCCCTTGTCTGGCCTCCACCGGCTTCTTGGCTAATTTTAGGCTTATTTGCTGCTGCAGCTGGACCTGCCCCACTGTCACTCCCTGGACAGTGCTGCTCTGTATGTATTTAATTAAAAAGCCTCTGGAGAGAGCAGAATGGAAGCGGGAGAGCAATGCTCCTGTAAAATCCCTAAGATCTGACTTTAGACCTGGCGTTAAATTCCAAGGGAGACAATTTTGTTGAGATTGGTGAGAAGAAACGATGTGGAGGGCCTTCTAATTATACCCTCAGTGGACTGTACACCTAGGAGATGTGCGCATCATCCACAGCTTTAAAAATGAGTCCCAGAAATGAGCCTCTCGGTGTGCAATTTCCAGGCCTCACTGGTGCCCAAGAAATCTGAGTTTGAAAAACAAAAATTTATTCTTTAAGGAAAAGATGATCCATAAATCTCAATATGTACATATGAACACAACCTGATGAATCAAGTATTACACAGACACCCGGAATGTCATATTAAAATAACTAACCATCTCGAAATCATTACACACAAGTCAAGGTACAAAGCCCCGTGGAATAACTGGAATTTGAAAATATCTTTAAAAATGTGACAAAGTAGTTTAGAAGGTGTCACTTAAACCATGAAGGGTTTCGGCAGAGGTTCTTATATAGCAAGGGTAGGGTTTCAAAGTAAAAAATTAAGTATGCTCTGTGTTTTCCTTTAAGAGAAAAGCATGAAGAAGTTTATCTGGGAGAGAGCGTTTGAGGAACAATTAAACGGGCCCAGGCGTGCTGCCTTCCACCCCGGCCCCAGCCCGGCCAGCTGCTCGGCCATCCACATTCAGGTTCAGGTGCTCTCCAGGGACAGAGGGCTTTTGTGTTCCTCCTTCCCTTCTATCATTTGTGCCGTCTGGGGCACAACAAATGCACACTTGCCAGGAGGTCCAGGCTGTTAACGTTTCTCCTACGTCCAGGGGGTAGGATGTTAAGCATCGTGCCAGCCGTACTTCTGCCCAGAGGTCACTTCTGAAGTGAGCACTGCAGCTGCGGAAAGTGAGAGCAGTCACTGCTCACACAATCCACCCCTTCTCCCTGGAAAAGGGAACCCTGCAGTCCTCTGGCCAAATGACTTTCTCCTGTTACCCGGTTGACCTTTGGTCTGGGTAGAACTCCATAAGCAGGGATGGGACGCCTCAATGTATGATGCTATTATTCCAGATGAGTGTGAGGCAACAGAGGGTGCCGGGGGTGTGCTGTGTTTCCACCGTGGCCAGGGCTGTGACAGAGCAGCGGCAGAGCACAGGGGCACAGGTGGCAACTGTAACCGCAGGGCCTGGAGAGCCTCGGGTGTGAAAGAGGCAGCTAGGACCGCAGACAGCTTTCCAGGAGCCAAGAGCTCGGGCGGAGCTCACGAAGGGGCTCTCGGGGAGGCGCAGTGCCCTCCCGGGCTGGGGTCTAAGTGCTGACCGCAGCAGCTGCCATCAGCAGGGCAGCCAGGACGGTCACTCAGGGCCAGCTGGAGTCTCTGGACTCTCACCAATTTCCATCCTTCCTTTTCCCTTCTGTTTTAACATAGAATAGCTTCTGTGTTTTTATTCTCATTGTTCTGAGAGGGTGATAAGTTACATTTCCTATCCTCCTTGGCCGACGGACACAGCCAAATGACTGAACTCTGGTGGATGGACAGGTAAGCAGAGGTCACAGAGGGGGTTTGGGGTGCTGTGTAAGGGGTGAGGAGTTTTGCCCTGGAATATGGAAGTGTTGGCTGACCTAAGGTGGCCTTGTAGGACCCTGAAGTGATCCTGGGAATGGAAGTCATAATATGAACCCTAAATTCTTTGTGTCATTGTTACTTCTGGCCAAAGAACTGGCTGTCCTTGAGCATCAGCCTGTGGAATCCAGACTTAATATATTTATTATCATGCCAGCAAAGGATATGCACTAGGACAGACGTGTTAGGGGAGATCCTAGTGGAGAAATAGAACTTATCAAGTTTATTTTGTAATTGAAGTACCTTATGCTTATAGAAGGAAAGAATAACTTCATTTTTATATCCAAGAAACTAGTTTAGAAAGTACATGGCTATTTTAAAAGTAGAAGGAAATGACCGCCAACTTTGAGGCAGACTGGCCCACCTTTCAATCGCTCCTTCTACTGTAAAGTTGGCCTCAGAAGCCAGCAGAAACCAACCTTTATAACATGTGTCTGTGGACAGCAGCACGTCCACCTGCCCCCAAAGAAAAAAGGACAACTGACCCATTTTCACCTAGCAGTGATCTTCTAACACATTGGAATAGGTGATGCACCAGACTGGGGGGATCCTGGGCCTGTCAAGCCGCAGGCCGACCAGGCAGGGCAGCGCTGTTTCCCTGAGCCACCTGTGGGCTGGAACCAGAACTCTGGGCTGTATTTGGTGGTTCACTGTCCCTGGCATCCACATCCAGTTAACCAGCTCCGTTAATAAAGGCAGGTAAGGACCACATACGTGATATTTTTTTCCAAAAGCAGTTACCAGAATTAAGCCCAAATAGGGAAATCACAATCAAAATTTATTCACTAACATTCCTACAGCCTAATCTCCAAAAATGCCCTTAAACTAACTTCTAAGTCATTGTTTTAACTAGAAAAAGAAACAAGTCTCAACTGGCAAAGCAAACATAGCTCTGTAATGTCCCATGTCCAGTTCCTCTGTGTGACAACAACATAAAATTTTCCTCTTAAAAACACATCCTGGGGCTGGGGATTTAGCTCAGTGGTTCTGCCGCCTCCCTTGCAAGTGCAAGTTCGATCCCCAGTACCAAACCAAACCAAACAAAACAAAACCACATCCTGATGCTGGTGAGGCTGCAGGGTTCAAAGGTTCTCCACTGTTGGTGGAAATGTACATTAGTACAACCACTATGCAAATCAGAATGCAGATTCCCTCAAAAAACGAAAACTAGAAACTCTATTTAACCCAGCTACTCCCCTTTTAGGTATCTTCCCCCCAAAGTGAAAGACATCAAATTACAGTGATCCATGCATTTCCATGGTTATGGAAGCACAACTCATGACAGTTAAATCTTGGAAGCAGTCCACACATCCATCAGTAGATAAATAGATAAAGAAAATGTGGTATTTATACACAATGGAGTACTACTCTGCCATAAAGATAAACTTGAGTTATTTGTAGGAAAATGGATGCACTTTGAGACATAATGCTAAGTGAAATGAATCAGACACAGAAGCTTAAATATTACATGATTTTCTATATGAGAAAC